TATATATATATATATATATAGCATGACCGAGTTTTGATAATTTTTAAATGAGGAAATTGAACATTGAAAGCATGTTTGATTTTGAACAAGCTTTTGTGTACTTTGCCCTTTTTCCAATGTTTTTGTGTAAAGCAAGAAAATTATTTGCTTTCGGTTAAAAGTGCATTTAGGTATCTCCGAACAGAAATACACACTGAACAACGAAAAACAAAACAAAGTGACTCTTTTTATAACATTTTATCATCATTTACACGTAATTGGTTCAAAATTACTTCACAATCAATAATAATAATAAATAATCATGAACTAATCATAGAATAATACGTAAATAGTGTTAAAATGTTGTCAAAAAAAATATTATCAAAGTATTATTATCTTTAAAAAAACTTAAATTCAATATGATTTTACCGTATACTGCAATGCAAGTCTAGAGAAGAAATTCGTCATTTGCAATTTAATCACGTGGTTAAAACTTATTTTAAATAAAAATGAAATTTCACATAAAAGAGACAAAAAATTATTTTAAAATAAAGGAGTTAAAACATCTATTTCACATAAAATTAATGGTTTAGGTCAAATTTAAAACTGATTACTATCAATATATACTTAATTATTTAAATTAGAAAAAAATATTGTTAGATATATTATTTTTAATTTTTATTTTTAGTTAATTTATTATTATTATTTATTTATATTTTGAATTTAATTCATGTTTTTTTATTATAAATTTAATATCCTATTTTTTTATTTAATAAAAGAGAAATTAATCATATACATAATTTTTATTATATTCAACAAATATCATAAATAGAATAAAATTTGCTTGAGGGAGAAAAATACATTAAAATTCATTAATTAATAATGTTTTTCATTGAAAATTAGTCATTGACAAAGTTGGTGAATATTCCAAATCAATTAAAAAATTATTGTGTGAATTTTTTTTATGTGAAAATAGATTTCCCATTTATTTTATTATTTTTCATACGTGTAAATTAACCAAATTTAAGTGTTTAGAAAACAATTGAGAGATGAACTTAAGCATTAAAGGGATAAGAAATTATTTAAATCATGAAAGTACATTGAATTCAAATAAATTGTATAGTAAATTACATATTTAAATAATTTTTTGCATCTTGAAAGTGAAGGTTTTGAAAGTGGCACATGAATTTGAGGTTGTGAAACTTTTATTTTAAAGTCAATTAAATCTACCACAAATTCAATTGAAACATAACCTAATTTCAAAAATGTCTTGATATGGAAGAGAACCATTATTGACCATAAAAAAAGTCAACCTTACATTTGGTAAGTATGGATCGAAAGTCGATATATCTTAATTAAAGAAATACCTCCCGAAGAAAAACCAAATTTCAATTTAAAACAATTTTTTCTTCTTGTTTTCTTCCCACGAGCAAGGAACTTGACTAAAATATAATAATAAAATAACGGTTTTCACAAGGCAAATAGAAAAATTGCACCAAATCCATGTATATATATGCAAGTTATTTAGTCATGTAATATTGTTAACCTTTATCATCTATTTATGTAAGGAGTTTGTTTAAAATTGGCTAAATTATTGTTGTTATTTCAAATTACAAGTTTAAAGATAAGGCATGTCGTGGGGCTTTTCTAACCAGATATTTTTATATTTTATTTCATGGGCATTAAATTGGTAACACGGTTTACGTTTCAATTTTATCAATCCTAGTGCTTTGATGTGGCAAAAAAGATAGTTTAGGAATAGTTTATTGAGAAATAAAAAAATAACTTTTTTTATAGAAAATGTAAAATTATTTACATAAATATCCATTGATACTCCATTTTCTTACTACTTTTTTACTGCATGAGGTGTCATCTTATGTGGCTATCCTATTTAGTTTTATATTGAGTTTCTTAATTGTTTTTCACACGCTGCCATCTAAGAATTTTCTTCCTATTCCCTTCTCCCTTCCCTTTCGTTCATCTGGTGCGATTTTAAATCAATCAATTTATTGAAAAATACGAGACTTTCATTCTTAAACATGAATATATTGTTATTGAACTTTTGAATTCAATTTATATGCATTATTTATAAGATATTGTTAAGAAAATTTTTAACAGTTTTAAAAAATTAAAATATATTATATTTAGATTATTTAAAATTTTAATTTTTTATTTTATTTTGTAAATATTTTATTTGGATGGACTAATTAAAATCTCTTATATTTTAATATTCTTATTTGGATAATATAATTTAACTTCTCTTTTAAAATAAAATTTTATTTTAAAAATATTAGATAATTCAATTGTATCACTCAATCCGAGTTTCAATTCAGAAATCTCAAACATTTGACTCAGAACAACTCAGTTTAATCTTTAGTTTAGTTTAGTCCGACTCGTATAAACTCTAGGTCGAGTATACCACCATTCCATGCATAGTAAAAAATTAAACCAATCCATACTTCAAATGTTCTAAAAAATTTAAAATTTCTCACTCAAACATGACATAATTACTGTAGAGAGGAGTATACAGAGCAAAGCAAATGCAATAGCAGCAACACATAAAAGGTCAAAAGTTTAATATACTCTCACTATGCAAGTTACAATAATCCTCCCCAGCAAATACAAATACAGAATTCTACCTAGCTCGTATTAACACGGTTAACAGTTGTACATGATTTTTAATTTAACTGGCTTGAAATAAATGCTACGCTAAGCCAGAAATTGGCATTAGTTTTACAGACAGAAATAATTCTTGTAAGTAAATGGTTTTCGGGTCAACTATCCTACATATATATATCATGGTCAAAGAGAAAGTCATCAAACCAAAAGGAACCACTATTCGGACTGTTCAAATGGTACACGAACAAACAACTGCCCATGCAGCGTCACCACCGCCGACGTCTGATGGGGATCAATTCTTGAGGGCAAGCTGACGACCTGAATTCATAGAATTTCTTGTGTTAAGAGTGAGGGAAGAGTAATATGTCATAATATGCCTGAAGAATCATGTATAGACCCAAAAAAAGGGGGTTTAGATGAGGATTGTATTAATAAACCTATAACCGTACAATTACTAACATCTAGGTAGGAGTATTAGAAAATAAACTTGCAAGTCTAATGAGGCAAAGTAATAGTTTGTTACAGACACGGATGGTTGTTTCACTTTATATTCTTCAGTGTTTTGGTATGATGACTATAATAGCAGCAAGAACAGACCATTGATGGTTAGAACATGTATACAACACAGATTGAAAATTGAAACAAAAGCAGTAGTGTATAAATTTTCAAAGCAAGACGGTTTTTCTATTTCATTGTTGAAGAAAAGTTAAATATACCTTTCTGAAAGGTGTCACACCCCAAGGATTGTTGGGATGCTCAGGCTCACCACTTATGACGAGGCGTCCTGCTGGGTCTGACTGTACACGAACCTGGTTTTAAAAAAGCATCCACAGTTCCATTTCAGATTTTCGGGATTGTTTTTCAGTATTGTAACGTAAGCATTTAAGGTTGAGGCCTTATTGCATCAAAAGTTAACAAAGTTCAACAGAGGTAAAATTTTGACTTAAAAGGAAAATGTAGAATACAAATTTTGACTTTATAAGTCAATTCTGATGGTCATCTGCCAGAATCAAAATCTCTAAAAAGTTGAATGAAGTATTATTTTCTTTCTTTAGAAGAGAAGTGGCTTTTATGAAATAGCTATTTCTTGAGATCACAACTTAAACCGATAATCTTTGAAGTGTCCTATGTAACTCATGAACTACTGATAGGCTGGATATGAAACAATTTGAAGTAAAGATTGAAGGGGAATAAAAAAGTAATATGCTTAATTTTCATCATAACACAGATTAATACAGAGAAGAAATATATGGCAACCAGAATGCATACCTCTTCCCGCAGAAGGCCAGGAACTAAAGCATATACCTCAAAACAATCTTTCTGCACGGAAGAGTTTCTATCGAAATCAGTAATTAATAACTATATACATGGCTTTTATGCTATTTGATCACAAGATACAGAACTTACAGTTTTTTGTACATTGACTTTTACCCAGTCAGCAGGAGGTCCTATATCAATCACAGTTGTGTCCAATCTAGCAGCCACACAAATAAACAAAGGTGAGCAAGTCAGCAGATAAACCAAAGTCCCAAAGTAAACACTTCCTAATTTCAAGTAAAGAAACTGGTTTGCAAAACGTTTAAGTAATTAATCAAACAACAATTAAATACGCAGAAAACACAAGAAAAGAAATTGAAAATGAAGTAACCGGTCTTAACTGGGGTTTAGAAGGTTTACTGCGTGCAGCCTTGACTGCATTATCCATGTAAGGTGAAGATGGCTTTTTACGTTTGTGCAAATCTGAGACAATAAGGAGATAATTCAATTCTGAGAATTGTTTAAAATCTGCTATACTGTTAAAATTGGAAGCAATAGGACGAAAGACATACTGATGCTTTTAAGCTGCTTTTCACGCTTTTGCACAGACATGGAATTCCTATCCTAAGAAAAAGTAAAGTATTAACCAATTATATGGGGGTCAAAGCAGAGTAACAGACAATATAAAAGAATTCAGGGAACAAAAAACCATAATTCAAAATCCTCCAGACCTTAATAATAGGGTCACTAACTTCACCATTCCCTAGGAGACGTTGTGAGTGCCAACCCTGCATAGCCCGTGCTGCAGCATCTCTCCGGGCTCTACCTGATGCTGAAGCCTGAATTTGCCCATCATTTAAAACAGTTGCAATAAACTAACGGTCACAGGAAAATTGACAGAGAGTGACAGTACAAAATAAGTAAAATCCAAATGCAAAAAATCAGTGAAATTATGCGGATGTCAAATGTGGCTTTCCAATATCTCCCGTTCTCATATCTGGGAATTGTATGAGAATGGGACTTATATTTGCTCATGAAACAGAAAGCAAAGGTATAAATTACACATTACCTGATTTTCAATATTTATTGGCTCTGGGTGAGAAGAAATCGGCACATTTAGCTCACCACCTTTTATTTTATGTCTTTCATAATCAAGAAGTGCCTGGGGTAGGATATAACAAATAGCATTAAATACCATGGATAACAGCTGCATACTTCTAAAGGCACAATATCTGATCAATTTTCATACATTAGCAAATAGCAAAAATAATGAAATAGGCCTTTATTTCTTTTTAACCTCTAAAACACGCATGGCTAGATATTTATAGGTCACTCTGAGAAAGCAAACAAATATGACATGTATCCCATGTCAATGCTAACTACTAAATTAATAGAAAATATGGACACAAGAAAACTATGTAAATGGTGTGAAATCTTCTCTGATAGCGTCGTAACATGAATGTTACAATTGTAAAAGTAATTCAGGTATGCTTATTATCTACACCAATGTCAATATTCAAGCAGATATAAAAAGCCTACTTATAAGCCTTAAAAGAACAACAACCAAGTACATATATAAACCATGTGTAATTAGTCAAAGCAATTAATAAAAAAGGAGAAACTGAATTATGACTAATATAGCAGAGTAGTCACCTTCTCATAAAATCCCCGGAAAGTCCATGAGACAGTGGTGCATGTCCTGCATAGTTTGAGAGCATTGCACTGTGTTAATATATTATACATTATATTATCTATAATTAATTCCATTCAGACAGCTCAAATTTTTTTGACAAACGCCCCAACCCCCAGCCACCCAACGAAAAGGAAAAGAAAATTGAAAATGAAGTGCATTTGAGTAGGATCTGGGGAAAAGCCAAAACAGTGAGGAAATATTGGAAGCCCACCAGTAACCATGCCTTAAATATTGAAAACAAACAGCTGGTTCAAAGCTAAGCTAATATGCTTCTTAAATCAACCATTCAAAGTTCAATACATGCATCCAGCACTCTTTGTTTCTCATCGATACTTAGAACTTTAAAAACACTTCAAATTATCACCACACCCGTACCAATAGATAATACCATTCCAGAGAGGCTATGTTTGACAAAACAAACACAAGAGATATAAAAACTACACAGAAGACAAATACAAAATATGCATACATAAGAAGACTTTGATTTCAGAGCAATAAACAAGATAAAGACATTGAAAGTGAAGATAAATCCATACTTCGGAGGTTTGAAAGACTCTCCCACTTGCCGCCATAACTTACATGAAGTCACCTATTTATAAATATAAGCCAGTTAGGTGCGTGTCTTGGAAACATCAAAACAAGAGATAAATAAACAATCTAACAAGCTTAGAGAATAACCAAAGATAATTTGGCTCAAAAGACAACCCCTTAACATTTTGCTCATCCAATTGTAAATACAGGACATTACAGGATTATTAGGTGAGTATTTGGCAAGCTGGTATCTTCACGCCACTAAGAAACTACATCACCTAAGATTTCTATGTCAGGAATGCTATCATCAATACAATTAGGATACTAGGAATATTAAATCTCAAAATGTAGGATGTTTTAAGCATATTTTGAATTATATTTTGTTGACAGGATTAGTGATAAAAACAGGTCAAAGATGATAATACACCTCTGGTACCATGTTGAGAAAAGAGAAACCAAGAAGGAATATAACAAATACATGTGTTATCCAAAAAACTATTCTTATTTATAATGAAGAAAAGATTCAATAATAAGAAACAAAATCAAACTGAAAAGTATTTGGTTAAGATATTTCCCTATGAAACCATATCAAATCTCCCTATTTAATGTATTTCAATCACATCTCTAACATGTTTGGTTTCATACTATACACTAGCAATATAAAATACCTACAGAATGATAACAGAGTATGACACGTACTGATGTGAAGTTAACATGTACAGCCTGTAAATATTACTCTTCCTTAATTAGATGGTTTTGTTGCCATATTCTGGTAGGAATTAATTAACTAGACTCAAGGTATTGGTTGTCGGATTGATTCTATAGTTGACTTCCGTAGAAAAGGAATGTGTATTCTGTAAATACACTTTGAGGTAGACGGAATGAACAACAACTCAGCCAGTTTTTCAATGGCAATAAGTATATGTCATATTACTTATAAAAACTTAAGATTCTCATCACTCACTAGTCTCTTCTACCATATATATGTGTATGTATGCATTTGTTCACTTTATTTTACTAGGACAAATAACACTGGTCTTCCAACGGCTGGCACCTTGCAATCCATAGAAGTGACAAAAAAATCATGTTACATGATAGCTAGACAGCTCACATGAAGACTGTCAACAAGTTAAACCAGCAACCTCCATGTGAAATTACAATGAACTTCTACTGTATCTAATCGTTCATCCAAGATGTGATGCATAACTTTGCGTAAGTGATTCAACAGGGAATAAGAAAAATGAATACCTTATCATAGCCACCCAATCTCGTTACAGCTCTCCACAACCTAATATTCAGACATACGTAAGCTTTACGTCAAAGTCATCATACTATGGACTAGTGTATTTATTTAAAAATAAGAAAAAGTTTACATGAACATGAATCACTTACTTGAGGCAATTTAGTCCTTCTCCATAAAACTTGGGATGTTTGAATTCCATGCTCCTCTCCCTAAAGAAGTTTTCAAGCTCCTTCGTGAATGCTGACTGATCCTCCTCGGTTCCTGACTCATTACCATCATAGGAATGGTCAGCATCCAAGAAAGACAAGTGCTTTGAGTTTGAATTCCCATTATCAGCAGGATCGATAGCTTGCTTTTCATCAGCCTTATTCTCAACTTCTAATACATTCACAAATTCAGTGTTTGTATCAGCAGGAGCAGATTGTGATACAGCAGGCTCATTATGGCTTGCAGGCATTGGATCACCATTGTCGCAAGTTTTACTGTCAATCACTCCACAGCCTTCAGGCTTCACTTCCACAGCCATTCCAACATCATCAATACTATTCTGACGAATATCATCACTATTCTCAACCTTCTTATCACTTGTGGGAAAATTTTCAGCTTCCCCCTTCGCTTTAGACGCTTCTTCACATTCTGTCGTATTCAAAACCTGAGTATGAGCCTCTACTGGGACAGAGTGAAGAGTATTTTGGACATCCTCTTGTGAAATTCCTTCTGAAACAACCTGAGGTTCCACATTTTTATGTTCAGCAGCAGATGGCTCTTCCTTCTTATTTTCAGCAGGATTTGACCCACTTTCGACATGATTTGACCCATTTTCAGCAAGGTTTGACGCTTCCTATTCTGGAACAGCAGCAGAGGCATCTTGAGGCTGAACTCGATCCTTTGTATCAACCAACAACTTGTTCTCTTCCACGACCGAGGGCTCGCCCTGGGCAGCCTCTTCGTGTTCTTGTGCATCACTCATTTGCCAATTTTAATTGTGCATGAGAACACAGCAACCTCCTATACCAACCCATTACAGTAATTTAAAATAAAATAGAAATCACAAGCTCACAATAAAAAACACAGGCACCCAAAATACACAGAAGGGGATTTTTAAAAAACAAGGAGAGAGAGAAAAAAAAAGGTTTAAAACCCCATGAACCAAAACCTACTGAGCGCAGACAATCATGGTCGAATTACCGCCATTAAGAGGAAACGGGAGCCACGGAACTATGCGCTTATGAAATTCACAAAACGGAAAAATGTGATTACGAAATTCTTTGCAGGCACTCAAGAGAACAGAATAAATCAATTCGAAGTAAGACAACGAAAAACGAAAAACAGAAGGAAGACTGGAAAAAACAGTGCAATGTAGCATTACCTGTACAAATTACAATTCAAGGGAAATGGAGCAGTGTAAGCAGATAAAAAAAGAAAAGAAAACCCTAAAATGGAACACGGAGGTTTGATGAATTTGAGAAACCCTAATTGTTTGTCCTCTTCTCCACGGTTTGCAGGAATTTTCATCCCAACACCAATTGCTGGTTGAAGCGGCAGATTTTGATGCGTGCTTGGGTACACGCGCCACGCGCCGAGCAACAACAGGGTTGACCATACGACGTCGTTGCTTCCAGGACTCCGAGACGATCTGAGAATTTGGGCCTAGAACTTGGTTTGTATCGTATCGGCCGAAGATAGTCTTTTCTTCCTGCACCCTCCCGTTTAATTTCTGCATGTCCCAAAAGTTATAATCCCCAAATTAACCCTTATAAAAATTATAATAAAAATCTCTGCATCTTTTTGATATTTTCCGAATTGGATATTTCGGAAGATACTTAAACATTCAATTTGAAAAATATAAAAAATGCATTCTGAATATGATATTTTGAAACATATTACTAAATGTATAAATACATTACCCAGAGTTATTCCAGAATATTAAAAAAAAATTAAAATAATTGTATCGAACTATATTTTTGAATCTGAAAACAACTTCTGAAATCGTTATTTCGAATATTTTTTCAATATTGGAATCAATATTTTGAAAAATATTTTTTATTTATTTTAGAGTTCAAAAAGAAATCCAAAACAACTATTTTGAAAATAATTTCCAAATCTAAAATAATTATTCCGAATTTGTTTTAATATTTCAGAAGGGCGTTTTCAATACATATTTTTAAATCTAAAAATGTGTTTTGAAATATTTAATCTAAAATTTATTTTACTTTATAATGTTCTGAAAAGATTTATTGGACTCGAAAAATATTTTTCAAAATATTCAATAAAAAATATAATAAAAATTAAACATTGTAAATATTTTATTATAATTTAAAAAAAATGTGAGTGTCCTCGTCCACCTTCCAAAAAGTGTTAAAGATAAAGTATATCTTTTGTTTACGGAATAATTTTTTTTAGCAAAATATATTTGAACTATAGCCAATTTTGGAATTTTTTTAAAAAACATTTTATATGTTTACACAACTTTTATAAGTGGGGGATAATATAGTTATGATGGAGGTAGAAAAGGCATTTGGGCCTAGCAAGAAAAAACACTCCTATATCTAATCTGAAACAAATTCAATGAATTTGGATCATAATCATTTGGATGGTTACAAAGTAAAATTGAAATTATTACATTGTATTTACAGACTTAGTTATGCAAAATATGTTACAACACAATATAGGCGAAATATTCTCGGTCAACGTCATATTATATAGATTAGGATTTTTTTTTTAAATTAGAGGTAAATTATGATTAGCTAAAATTAACAGCTAAAGCATGTTAGGAGAACATCAAACAAATTAATCAAAGTGATATCTACGCAAACCAAATCTAAGAAAAAGTCTATAAATATAATATAAATAATATAGTTTATGAAATAAATTAATCAAACAGAAAAAGATATAGATAAGTTGAATGTGAAAACTCCTGATTTTGAAGTTGATAAATTTTCTTTAAATTTTTTCCATTTGGAGCTTCCCAACAGATAATATCTTTTCCTTTTAATATTATTTAGTTCCATTTAGTTATCGAAATATTGAATAAAATTTCTGAAAATGTATACAAGTTGGAGAAGTTGATTCCATAAATGTCTTCTTCCGATGGACCGAAAAGTGAGTGCACTATGAAGATATAGATAAAACCTAGACTGTCATCAATTACTAAAAGGAATAGTTGTTTTTAAAAGCTTTGATATTCTATATTTCTGTGATGCTCGATAGTGCTAATAATATAAATATACAATATATATATATATATATATATATATATATATATATATATATATATATATGGCCAGACTTTAGTCCCACTTTCTATCACGGATATGGATGAATCCGAGGAAAAACTTCGCAATCTATAAAGTTTTTTTCGAGAAAAAAATGTGAAAAATAATTGAGCATAGTTAAAATCATTCTTGTACATTTCATAAAATCACAGTTGAAGTGAATTCATCCCATATTCAAACAACAGATAAATTTATACAAGAGATTAAGAACTTCTTCTAATTAAAATCTTAAGATAGTTGTTTCGGTCATTCAAAGTTATCAATTTCGATATCTAGTTGTGCTGTCTTTTTTCTTTTTTTTGTCCAAGCCGTGAAAGAGGGTGTCTCCAAAAGACACTCTAACGCTCAAGTCAATGACCTAGCGTAGTAATATTATAATTAAGATTAGTTATCAGAGTTCAAAGTTCGGTTCAAGTTACCTGTCTTCTTGTCAAATAAATATTTATAAATTATAATGACTTAGTCTGACTCATTAATCACTCATAAATGAAATTATTAATTGTCAATAAATGACAATTATTTTCATTAACTCCCAGGCAGTTATTACTATTGATTACCTTAACGGCTCTTTTTACCGGTCGGTTCACTGACCTGAGAGATATCATCGGTCGACCGGTTCTTCTGCACCTTTACCGTTCGGTCGGCTACGAGCCCATTTTACTGAGCGGTTAACTATTTGTTCGCTCGGTTCATTTGCCTAGGCGGTACCATCGATCGGCCACGAGCTCAATAACTTAGACTCCTCTATACCTTTACCGTTTGGTCTACTATGAGTCCATAGTAACAACAGTAAATTTAGTTTTTTTTTTTATCTTTATAATCCTTAACTTTCTTATTTTACATACATTTAAATTTATATATAAATTCCTAGTCGTATGTTTAAGAATAAAAGAAGCGGTAATAAAGTATCCATGGATCAACATTTAAATCAATTCACTAAAAAGATTTATATTTAAAATAATTATTTTTATAAGGATAATAATGCGAAAGAGATCATATAAGTCAGACTAGTAAAAAAAGTAATCTAATCCATTATTATGCTTAAGCCGGATTTCCATGTATACTAACCAATACAATAAGGAGTCATGATACGCTAAACATAACCTATAATCAAAATCCACAATATTTTAATTTCTGACTCAAACTAAACTTATTTTATTTTATTGAGTTATTGTTCTTTTTCTTAATGTTTAAACCTTAAGTGACTTCTTTTATTTATATTTAGTATTGGTTAATATATTTTATGATTTCTAATTAATTATGATTCAAACGATCAATTATTAAACTGATAATAAATAAGTTTAGATTATTATTTAACTATTCAAATGACAAATCAATGAGTTCGAAAAGTTATTTAATAAATCGAATGAACATGATTAGTCTAGGTAAGAAAGTAGGTTATACATTAATTTCTTTTTATTTAATTTAATCGACTTTGGTATTCGAGTACGTGTTACAAGTACTACATCAGCAATTTAGATGCATAAAAACTCTTCAAACGGTTAAAGATAGAATAATTGACATTAATCTCATATCCGAAACAATACCTAATTATAATTTTTTAATATTTTATATAATAAATTACTTTTATACTTTTTATTTATGACATATTTAACTTTGACACATTGTATAAATATTAATTTATATTTTCTTAACTTATTTTAATTATACTGTGAATGATAGGTACAATAAATATATAAAATACGAGAACAAATATTTGTGAAATATCAAAACAAAATAGTATTTATATGTAAATATTTGTAATATGTTGGTTATGTAGTTATGTGAGTCGATCTTTATATGAGTGACTGAAAATATTGAGTTAAATATGTTTTTGATCCCTTAACTTTTAGTGAAAATTGAAATTAATCCCTCTTCAAAAATTTGGACTAATTTAGTCCCAAACTTTAGAAATGTATGAATTTAGTCATTTTAACCAAATTTTGTTAACTTTATTTGATATTTGAAACGCATTTCTTAATTAACATTGAAGCAAAAATGTGTCAAATGGTATAAACACCTCAAATGCTATCATGAAATGCACTTGAAACATCAAATAAACTTAACAAAATTTAGTTTAAAGGACTAAATTCACACATTTTTAAAGTTTGGAGACTAGATTAGGCCAAAGTTTTGAAGAAGGACTAATTTCAAATTTTACTAAAATTTAAGAGATAAAAAACATATTTAACCCAAAAATATTGATGTGAATGAATCAAACCAACCAATTTTTACTGGCCAAATATCAGAATTTCTGTGGTCCAAAAGAATTTTCTAAAAGTCAAAATGATGATGCATTGGATGAAAACACAGCCATAGCTGTATTTTCTAAATAGAGCTACCTAAATCTTTATGTCTCAATAGCTAAAGTTTTGCTGTCTCAGTTTCGATTAGGAGTGTTGAATGTGCATGTTCTACATAGTTCCACCATTATGTGGTGGTGGGTTCTACACAAAATTGATTTTTCATTTCTTTATCTTATTCTTCTTTGATTAATTTGTGGTAGTATATTATTGTCCAGTGTTTGCATTTAGGATAAATTATTAGTTAAAGTACGATTGTGATGGTTTCACTAATTTTTTATATCCAGTACAAACAAACCTTAATAAGATTTGTCTAATATAAATTATTTATTTTAAAATAGATGCTAGGACCAAAATTAATAATTTTAAATTAAGAAAGTTAAAAACTAAAGAAAAACATTTTACAAACATTAAAATAAAAAATTCATATGTTTTATTACGATTAGAAAAATCCAAAATTTACAAGAATAATAAATGAAGAGAAAATTCTCTAAAATTAAAATAAAACATATTCGTTTTATGAGGACTAAAAATATATTTAAATTTGTCTTACTACATTTTTTCTTATAATTAATTAAATATATAAAGTTTGAGGAAAACTTTGTTTAAACCACCGATAACAAAAGTTAATGAGAAACTAAAACGGAACCTAACAGTAGTCATAAATGATTTTAGACACAGAACTATTTAAAATTAATTATGATAACTTGTTTGTCTAAATTGTCACTGGTTTTTTCTATTCTATTCCCGATGATAAATAAGGATTGAGAAACTATACTATTTTCAATGACAAAGAAGGATTGAGAAACTAATTAACAGCTTCACTTTTGCGTATATATTTTTTTTAACTCACTTAATAAATACACTAACGAATATTATAGGTATTATTTATAATGAGATATTATTATTATATTATTAATTATTATATTATTATATATTTAAGTAACTATTATTTAAATGATAACATAAGTCAACAATTATGTTGTTTTTATAAATATAAATTTTTTTCAAGAAATACTTACTTAATA